TCCAATAATTTTTCACATTTATCAACATCCTGAATCCTGAACGATGTAACATTAACAGAATACTTGAGGAAACATAACACTACACAGGGCAAAGTTTCTGCCTTCTGATCTGCTGATCTTAATCCGACTCATTCCTCACCTTCCACAGAGACTCAAAGGAAAACAGTTCCCCTCTTACAGGCTTCTTCTCAAGTGCAGGTAGAGAATTTCACCAAACTGGAAACACAGAGGGTGTACTGCTATGTATGTTTGCCTTTCTCACCTCCTGAGACTTAAAGAAGCAATAAGCTAGCTTCTACAAGTACTGAAAACAGAAAAGCCTCTTTACTTTTCCTAAAAATATTCTATTGAACAATTAGATCTAAATTACAATACAGGATGAGAGTGCTACAGTTTGAAAAAAAAATGCGATTATGCAAGGGAAGCAAACAATTATGCACACCACTTGTCTGCTTCCAAGGCTTAAAATGAACCATTAAAAGTGCTGCTAGTCATATCAGAAAAATAAAGCATTAATGACAAGTTTGGCTACTACTCAAGCTCTTAAAAGTCACAAATAGGACTTACAGAAATATTTTCCAAATTATTCTTTCTCTCCGGTTTGTGAAAGTTCATAGAAAGAAAGCTTTGCTCATTCTTCTAATGTTAATTAAAGTTACAAGATACAGAACTCTGCTAAGTACATAAACTAACTGAAGATGACTTTTTTTTCCCTTTAGTTCTCTTTCAAATACAGTAGTTTTAGAGACAACTCACAGCAACAGCAGGTAAGAGACTGTCTGAGAACCGATGTCTGCTTGAGGAAGGGGGTTTATACACTAGTGAATTATTCCCATAAAGTTAAATAATACTTCAAACGAAAGCCATAGGTATACAGGCATAAAACTCTTACCCTGACCTTTTAACAATCCTAAGCCACTTAAAATTTTAAAACATCACCACCACAACTAAGCAAAGCCTTACAAATGCAAGATATTTAAAAATAGACGTTTAAAATGGTACCCTCCAGAAATGCTGTACTGGATTTTCCTTCCTGTAGGAAGATGAATGCTATGGCCTTCGATAGTTGACAGTATCCTTTAAATAGAAAGTGCGTTCAAATCCTCCTATATCTGTGGTATATCATAACACAGTGCCACTACCTAATAATTCATCTCTTAGTTGCAGAGGACAAAACAATCGCATGTCAAAAAGAGGAGGCAGATAAGGAAAAGATTCATTTACCCAAGCTATAAAACAGACCATTCAATTTTGATAGCTGTGATTTAAGTTAGCCAATAAATCTGCAAGTCAACTTCAAGCAATGCTCATAGTATTCTGACAGAATTATATGGTTTTAACTTCCTTCTAGCAACTGGGTTAACCTATGATAAATACTGGGTTTTTTTAAAGGTAGGAAAACAGAGTGAAACATATCTTTACTTGCCATGTTTCAGAGTCAATAATGTTTCTTTCCTGCACTTGCAAATATTCAACTAACTTCACAGATAAAGTAATTAACAAAAAAGCATGCACTGCAGAGGAACTCTAAACATAAGCCTTTTCAATTTTGTGATAAATTAAAACAATTAAAGTGGAACAACTGAGACACTACATTTAAAACCATGTAAAAAAAAGACATCTTACTGATACCTCGTACTTCAGTGGACTACATACAAGCCCATAAAAATATATCTGTTCAATTGTAAAACCTGAGGAATTTGCTTCTTGATACTTATTTTCATAAGCAAACGGAGAAAGCAGGTTTTGCGAGTAACAATGGTGCTCATTCTGGACAAATGACTCAATATACCAAGTACTTTAACCACCTCTACTCCAAAATGTAATTTTCAGATTGAGAAGTTTTTCAAATATTTCGTAACCAAGCTACACATTGAAATAATGTCTCAGATACTCTACTTCCCATCCATAACCACAATGTCAATCTCAGCTTCAGCTAGTGCTTGCATGACATCTTTGTAGCAACTACGGAAGTTATGTATATGGACACATAATACTAGGAAAGAATGCAATGTATTTTAAGCTTCTTTTAATGATTTCACAGCTGGAAATTTTAAGAAGTAGTATCATGCAATCAGGCAGCCAATGTTCAAACCAAGGTAAGTTACAGCAGGGTAAATCGTATGTTATACTTGTACAGTACATCTGCCCTAGATGCTTCCAAGAGTTTCCTTATATCAGTATATCTTAATTAGCCCTATAAACATCAGTAGAATACAGGAAAGTGACTCAAGCAAAGATTTAAAACTTAGCTGTAGCTTTTTTTTTTTTTTTTTTTTTTTAAAAAAAACCCTGTATTAACAGCCTAGGAAAATTCATCACTGGCTAGAGCAGAAGACTAGAAAAGGCAACAGTAATATTAAAATGTGGCATTAGCTATGGAACTATATTTCCTGGACTATGCTTCTATGACAGTCTCCTTTTACTGCTACCATGAAATTATAAGAAAACCACTGCCAAAATGACATTCATTTCACCACAAGAGATCATCATTAACCTCAGTTATATGACAGAAGGAAGACCTTCTGCATTATTCTCACTTTTTTAATACACTTTTCTGAAAGTGGAACATTGTTTCAACCCGCCATTTTCCTTAAGCAACGGGATTAAAATATCGTCACGAATTGTTGGCAGTAATTAAGCAATTTTAGGATGATGGACAGTCAAAACATGGAGGTGGTGTTTGGTTTTTTTTACAGTAACAAGTAACACACCTTACAAAGACTACTTACCTATCAGGTACCCTTGGAGCAAAGCAAGACGTTGTAGAATGCACACAAAGAATATTTTCAGCACCAAGAGCCTTGATTTGAGCCTCCACTGCGTTGATGTCTGTCCGTAGCTCATCGCCTTCTAACACATTTTCTATCACCACAGGCTCAAAACCTGACCAAAGAAAGCAAGGCCTGAATGTATATCATCAAATCTCTGACTAATTGTGGGGTTTTTGTTCCAGTATAAATCTGAAAAATCTTCTTGCTTCTGTTGTTTTATCAGATTCTTTCAGACTTGGATTAAGAATAGATACATAAATGGTTTTATTGTACAATGCCCATATAGCTAAAAACTACGATAATATTCTTGTTAAATACTGGACTCCAGACAAAAGCTCACCTTACATTCTTTCAATGTAACAGCAACAGGTTTGAAGATTGTTTTAAAAACAGATTAACCTCTTCCCTCCCAATTAAGAGTTTGAGTGGCATTCTTATAAAGCATTAGCATACTATAACAGCCTCTCTAAAAAAGGATGCCATTAGATGTAGCATTGCCATAATGATCATTATGAATTGGCTTTCATCAAAAGCCTCTGCCTAACTCAATCTATAAATTTCCAAATTACTTCTTAAAAGATAAAAATTTCCACGTTTGACCTCATTTTTGAAAGTGAACTTTGTCATATCATAAAATCCAAGCTATTTCCCAAGTCTTCTATTTTATTTTTTTAAGTTTCCAGTTTAAGTTTGTGTTTAAGACGTACAACAGCTGAACCTCATAAGGCTGTTTCTCAAGGACACATATGAGAAATATTTGAAAAAAGAAAGCTATCCCCTTCTTCTAAATGTTGTAGTGTTTCAAGTTTTGGAACAGGCTGCTCAGGAGGGATGTTGAAAAACCAGAGAGGGTCCATCAGAGGGCTACCAAGATGGGTGTGGTATAGCACATACAGCTTAGAAAGAAAGGCTGTAAGAGCTAGACTTTTCAAGCCTGAAGAGGCTAAGGAAAACATCTAACAGCAGCCTGCAACCATCTGAAAGGGAATTACAAAGACAAGAGAGCCAAACTCTCCTTGGTAGGATATAATAAGAGGCAACACCAACAAATTTTGGCTTGAGACACTCAGAATAAGCAGCAAGAAACAGCTTTTTTTCACTCAGAGGACAGCACAGCACTGGAACTGCTATCCAGAGAGCTTGTGGAATCTCCATCCTCAAAGATTTTTCAAGGTTCAGCTAGACAGAGGCAATGTTGGCCTAACCTAGTGCTTAAAGAGTCTTCTTTCCTAAAGAGGGAAGCCTGTCATGGTAGTTGCTCAAATTTCTAGCTAATAAATAAATTAGAAAGGTTTTGTTTACAGAATAGCACACTTGAAACCATATATTCCCTTCCCCAAACAGGTGTGGCATGGCAGCAACATCCTGCTAGCGGAAGCGAGTATTACTTTCTTCAAAAACAGAGATGTTCAGTTTACTGAATGGAAGTAAAGGAGAACGGGGGGTGGGGGACAGGGAAGGGAAAGGGTTATTTCCAAAGCAGTGTAACATGGCAGCAGCTATGTGAATTTTTCCTTTGTGGCTCAACACTATGCCTTAACACTGACATGTAAGGCTCAAACTCTACAGAAGAACTCAGACTTGAATGATTTATTTGCATTGTTAGCCCTAGTCTGGTTTTCAATTAGTGATCTCAAAGACAGAGATTGCATTTAAAAGATATGTGATACCTGCTTCTCTCTTATTTTTAGTTGATAATTCTTTTAATTAATTCTGTGATAGTTGTCTTAACTGTTAAAAAAAATTAACAGATCAATTATATTTCCTCACAAGCTTCTCCATTATAAACATAATGTCCTTAGCTTGATGTTCTAAATTGAGCATAATATTCAAAAGCATTCCCACTTTTCTTATATACATGTTCTATTTGTTCTGATCTGATTTCTTTTAAACACCTCTGCATCTTACCTGGACAGAATCCAGTCCCTGCTTCCAATTGTTTAGTCATTTTTATCTAATGATTCTTTTATGCAAAAAATAAATGCATCCTAGGAACTAGGACCAGAATCTATGCCACCACCTGCAGGTATGTGCACTGACCTGGAAAACTATGGTGTTCCTTACTTGCCCTTTCCTTGATCCCGTGCATCTGTCTGCAGGAGGGGAGAGCTGCAGTGCAGGGACAGACTTCTACCCTTAACTTACTTATAGACTGGTAAAGAAGGAACTCCATTTGAGAGAAATTAAGGTTTGAACTAAGAAAGGCACCAAACTCATTTCCTGAGTAAGCTGAGTGACACTGCAAGATTAAAAAAAAATAGGGCAGCTAACACTTCCCATGTTCTAAAAGAAAAGAATGTACAAATCAGACAGCTTGTCACCTTCTGATCACAGTTCCTAGGACACACATGCTTGTTGCATAAATCTAAAAAGAGAGATTTGAACCTTGGTTTTACATAATTCTCAGGACAGCAAATTAGGCATCTAGCTCCAAGAGTGAACCTTAACTTCCTTAGTATTGTGTTCTGTCTTGACTACTTCCTATACCTCTGTACCTCGGCATATGCCTATATTTTACAAGGTATTAGGAAGACAACTCATACGTGTGATTGCATGTTAGAAATCAGGAGCGTACAAATAAAGCACTTAGAAATACTATGCATTAGGCCTTTTCTGGATCTTACTGTGAGCATATGAGTTGATCACTCTGCTAGATGAAGTTTTGTATCTGTTAGAACACACTGTGTAATCAGTAAGCTCCTTCTTACCTGCAGTTATCATTGATTTAAAGCAAGATTTCTGGTCTATACGTGGCCAGATAATATATTTTGCCTTTGGTCTCTTGTGCCGCAATGTTAAAAAACACAGAGTTAGACTCATGCCAGTTGCCATAGGAACCACAAAGCAATTGGTCACTGTCCGGACACCTGCACATAAAAAGCCAGTCAGAAATGAACGTGAAGAATCCATGAAATGCCCCCACAAATGAAAGATATTTTCAGATTTACACCTACCAGCCAGCTTTATAATATCCAGAACTACTGAATTAGTAAGTTTGTTCAAAAGGCTAGACCCTGCAGCTTTAGGCTGGACTGCAGAAATATCACCTGACCTTCCAATTCCATGGATCAACCTAAACAAGAAAGGTTGAAAACATACATCAAGTTTTTTTCACATCCCAAAACAATAATTCTTGCTGACTGAAGAGAATTTGACAAACAATTGTGGAAAATGCTGTATCCAATGCAACATCAATATCTGCCATAATCAGTTCCATTCCAACAAACTACTTATAATCATATGAAATTGTCATTTTTATTTTTTTAACAGTAGATTAACAATGCTCCAGTATGCAAGTAAAAACTTTGAGAAGACCCATAGTAACAACACCTTTAGCGTCTGGCAGGCTTCCTTTTAAGAGCACCTCAGCACTTCTTGCTGTCTGTTGAATTAGCATTATAAATACTGACATGTTCACACAACTCTCTGGAAAACAAAAATCCGCTGCCTAGTGTAGCACACCATAGGCTTAGTGGTATTATACAGATACTCCCCTGACAAATGCTTCATCTCCACAGGGCAAAGAAATAATGTATACTGTGACAAAACGTCCTGAAAGACAGTTAGGTTAATGTATCACTTTTCCCATCTTTTTCTACATCTTCACTTCATCTACCTCATTCTACTGTTGAATATTATGTATCCTGCAATACTATCTCTCTCTGCATTCTGTTTATAAATTTTGTTCGTAAACTGTGTTTATAAATGTTGAATATTATTTAGCACCTTTCAGGAGTGAAGGATCCTGAAATCGTGTCTAAAATATAAGCTTACAGAACTAACTTTACCCATGGCTGAAATGCAGCAGCTGTTCAAGTAAGGTAGTAACAATACACATCTATTTATGGCTTTAATTCTGTTTTTGTCTTGGGAATAGAGTAAAATGCAGTCTGATGAGTGTATGCAATTCAGAACTTCTTGGAGCATAGCTTTACAGCTTAGATTTTTTCCCCATTTCAAGCTATAGGTTGAAATCAATAGCTTGGTAATTAATTGAAACTTGCACGTAATCCTCACCCCATCAAAAATATTTTCTTCCCTCGTTCCTGCTGCTATGTTCTTAATCGCTTTCTCATATTAATACTACTTCTTTTCTGCACATATGTACTCCTTCCTACGGAGCAATCTGCCCTAAGACCGACCCTTAGAATTTATTAAGCTGAAAGGAAAGGCAGTGTGAGAACCACCTACTGGCACCTCCATCACTCCCAAAGTTATCTGTAAAGCTTATTGCAGAAATAAGTGAAGTGGAGGATCCCTCTACGCCTTTCCTTGCTATTGCTGACACTCACAGGTGAAGGCGAGATGCCAGGTGACAGAGCTGCATCAGACCAACAGTAGCTAAATGCCAGCGCAGGCTCTCTCTGGCCAGAAGCTGGGTGTGCTTTCTCCAGCATTGTCAAAAAGCAATACCTCCTCAGATACTATTGCCCGTGTGACCCTCTACCTCCCTCACCACACATATCCTAGACTAGAGAGCAGTACAGAAAACAAAAAAGCCAAACTGATGTATTACCAGCTTGCTTCATTAATTTTTCATGGTACTGTAGGGCTTATGAAAGCCATTAAGTCTAAATAATTCAACTTCCATATGATAAAGCTTAATAAATTTCTGGTCTCTAATATGCTTTTGTTTAATCTTTCAAGGAGAAACATTCCAGGAAATTTCACTTTATTTCATTCCTGTTAGCTAAAACATCACACCACGGTACTCAGCACAGAACTCCATGCAAAAAAAAGTATATTCATAAAGAAACTAACGCAGAGCCTCTAGAATTATAGCATCCAACGTACCCATCAAGTGTCAGAAGGGCTACAAGCTATCAAAAGCTCATCTCATCTTTATAGATCTCCTTACTTCATAAAAAAATCTATTATAGAGGAACTGGGTTTTCATGTGCATATCAACTAATCATATTATGAAGATATTAATGAATATAACAGAATACAAATAGCTGTTCACTAGGAATGTTTGGTACTTTACAGCTACAAGGTGCAGCAGTTTTTAATCATATGCAGATAAAAAAAACTAGACAGTGTTAAAAAAGGCAAGTAGCGCATGGATTATTTTAAAACAGAAAGATCTCTGCTTCCCTTGCATTCAGTCAACTCAAAGTCTTCAGCTTCTACCAGTTCAGCATACAGGATGTAACCCTGACAAAACATTTTGTTTCATTCAAGACTTTCCAATGAGTTATTAATGAAAATTCAATACAGAAAGTTTTATCAATTCAATATCACGTTATATAATTTTTCTCAAATGCTATCAAGGTCTCAGATAACAAGGCACAATAAAATATGCCATTTGAAAGCATTAATAATAAATCTGAATAATTCAAATTGTCAATAATTTGTACCTGTAATGCCTTCGGGCAACGAGTCCTGACGCCACTCTTCCTTCCCTCTCACCCACACCGCAGTTGCCCAGAAAGTTATTGCTATCCATTATAGCGAGTTCATGAAGAAACAGTTCAATGGTGCTTTCCTCCCATCCCTCTTCAGGACATTTTCCCTTAATAATAATAATATAAAGGTAACTGGGAAACCTGGAAGTTAAAAATGGGCAAAACTTTATGCAACTTGTTTGATTAATGCTACCCTTCTTGACCACACTGAACGGCAGTTTGTATTTTCATTATGCTGCTTTATATTATCTAATGTAAAGAACCTGTATTCAGAGAAAAGTTAAATAGTGCTTTTTCCCTATATTAAGTGCAATTAGATTAGCATATCCTTACATCAAAACAGTTAGGGTATTTTTCAAGTGTTCTTTAAGGTACACACAAAACCACTAGAGCACATACGTGTTAATTACTCCCTAAAAGACTAGATTATTTGATGTATTCTCTAGACATGAATCTACTACTATGAAATTCAACAGAGAAAACTGGATGAAAAGGAGATAACTGGACATTACAGAACCAAAAATATTAATTATGAGCAGAAGGGAAATATAGTTTCACTTGTAACACATCTTCCTATCTGCAGATTTTCCTTTCTAGTTGTTATCTAATCGGTCAGGAAACCACTTACAGAATATAACGTGTCAAAACCTGCAACCAGAGACATGCTCTTTCTTGTGTTCTTTACTGCAGCAAGAACTGCACTCATCTTTACAAACTGCACAAAAGATTCTGAGAGGAAGGGTACCCATAAATCCACAGAGCATTACTACAGCACCCCTACAGTTCAGAGGCTTTTCTTTTTTCCATGTGTCCCAATAATAGTAAAACGAACTCAGTAAAACTAATTCACTTCCAAAGTGTGGTATGAAAGTTAAGTTTGAACCAGCGGATGATGTGACTAAGGACGCTCAAGAACTGAAACATTTGACTAATCATTGGTAATGACTTCTGCACGTTGCAGACAATTATGTTGTTTTGGCACGAGTATCATTTTTTACCTCATGCAACAGTTACGTTAGCATCTCACTGTTGCAAAGAAATTGTTTAACTGTGTGCTGGGCCTTTCTCAGCAAGCGCCCAGCCAGAGGCAGCCGGTTTTGCTCCCAAACGTGGCCTTTCATTTCGGGGCTCCGCGAGGTCTCCGCCGCCACGGCGA